GCTACACATAATTGGGGTTCCAGAAGGGGAAGAAAGAACAAAGGGGATTGAAAAGGTATTTGAAGAAATCATGACTGAAAACTTCCCAAACCTAAAGGAATCAGATATCCAAGTACAGGAGGCTCAGAGGGTCCCAAACAAGAAAAACCCAAACCAAGACATATAATCAAGATGGCCAGAGTCAAGGATAAAGAAATGATCCTAAAGGCAGCAAGAGAAAAACAAAGAGTGAGTTACAAGGGAACCCCCATAAGACTTTCAGCTGATTTCTCTACACAAACACTACAGGCCAGAAGGGAGTGGCAAGATACATTCAAAGGCCTGAATGAAAAAAAGATGCAGCCTAGGATACTCTATCCTGCAAGGCTATCCTTTAGAATAGAAGGAGAGAGAAAGAAATTCACAGATGAGCAAAAACTACAAGAGTTTAGCAACACTAAACCCATGCTAAAAGAGAGAGTGACAGGTCTACTCTAAATAGAAAAGAAGCAGGATGCTACAAAAATGAGAAGCTCTTAACTGGAAAGGTGATAACTGCCATGAATTACAAAAAGAATAAACACAAAATTGTAAAAGAAGACATCTAAATCATTAAGAGTGGGAGAGGGAAGCAAGGAAAGCAACTGTGGAAAACAGTATGGAGATTCCTCAAAAGACTAGGAATAGACTTACCATATGACCCAGGAATCCTGCTCCTGGGCATATATCCAGAAGGAACCCTACTTCAAAATGACACCTGCACCCCAATGTTCATAGCAGCACTATTTATAATGGCCAAGACACGGAAGCAGCCTAGATGTCCATCAACAGGTGGCTGGATAAAGACGCTGTAGTATGTTTATACAATGGAATACTACTCAGCCTTAAAAAAGAATAAAATAATGCCATTTGCAGCAACATAGATGTTCCTGGAGAATGTCATTCTAAGTGAAGTAAACCAGAAAGAGAAAGAAAAATACCATATGAGATCACTCATATGTGGAATCTAAAAAAAAACCATAAATACAAAACAGAAACAGACTCATAGACATAGAATACAAACTTGTGATTGCCAAGGGAGTGGGGGTTGGGAAGGGACAGACTGGGATTTTAAAATGTAGAATAGATAAACAAGATTATACTGTATAGCATAGGGAAATATGTACAAGATCTTGTGGTAGCTTACAGTGAAAAAAGTGGCAATGAATATATGTATGTTCACATATAACTGAAAAATTGTGCTCTACACTGGAATTTGACACAACATTGTAAAATGACTATTACTCAATTTAAAAAATGTTAAAAATAAATAAATAAAATAAAAAGGTTGCTTCCATATCTTGGTTGGCTATTGTAAATAGGGATTAATCAATTTATTGTATGTAGTGGTGCTGTGAACATTGGAGTGCATGCATCTTTTCAAATTAGAGTTCCCTCTAGATATATGTCGAGCAGTGGGGTTGCTGTATCATATGATAAGACTATTTTTAGTTTTTTGAGAAATCTCCATACTGTTTTCCATAATGGCTGCACCAAACTGTGTTCCCACCAATAGTATGTTTCTCAAACTCTTAATGTGTGTAAATCATTCTTCATGATCTCTGTTTTCATGCTTTTTCATTTTGCCTCTTTTGCTGTATGGTAGAGGTTTTCTTCACATAATATTTTGGAAAATATGCCTTTAGTTTTGAACTCTATTGTTGATTATCTTTAGGACCACAAACAACAGATTTTTAAGCCTAGTTGTATTAATTTACCAACTTCCCCGAAATTTTATCATGACTCCTTACTGTAAAAGATGAGTATTAGTTTATTTATTTCCTTTTGTGTTTCCTTCTGCTCATTTTCATCTCCCAGTTTTTGTTAGAATACTGTGTGAAGTGATTACCATCCTGACATGTGTAACACTTTGTAACTTTATAGCCTTTTACAGAACTATTAAATTTACATTCTATTTTAGGACCTTAGTAAATTGGCACATACATTTATGTGGTTAAATGAATTTATTGTCCATTTAGTGTTATTTTGATACAGCAAAGGATGAGTCTCTGTATGGCTTATAGTGCACTAAATTTTCTTCCAGAAATGCAGTAAAACCTTGATCAAATTTAGGTCTTCATGTCAGGAAATTTCTGTTACGTCTTTAGTTACATTTTCTCTTACATTTTCTGTTATCTTCTCCAAGAATGTTCTGCTTGTTGTTGATGTATTTATTAGTTCTGCTGTGATATTTGTCTTATCTAGTTTTCCTCTCTTGTCAACTCAGCGCTACCTTTTCTTTTCAGTGTCATTTTGATTACAGGATTTTAATTTTTCTCGAGAATTGAAGCACTTATTTCTGAGTTTTCTTCTATTTCCTGTGGTAAATACTAACCCTGAGTGGATTTTTTTCATGTAACTTTTGACTATGTGGTATAGTTTGAATGGTTTCAAGAACATAATGGAGTTTATCTTTTTATAGATGCAGGGCCTTTAACCCCATCCCACTTGCCTCCAGCTGCAGGATGAGCTAATCTGTTACTTCGGAGGTCTGGGACTTTATAAAACATTGTAGGGCGGTGGTTGTGCTAAGGTTAGAAGTGAGATTGTTTTATTTGTAATTTTCTTAGTCTTGCTTTTTTTTTTTTTTTAACTCTTTTTACCCTTCCTTTTGGATAAAGCACAAGATGCAGGACTTTGTCACTTACTCCTGCCCTGACAAAGTATTTTTTAGCCACCAGAGAAAGGGAGCTTCAACTAGGGCATTCTACATCTTTTCGCTTATCACATGTGTATCCCCATCCCCATCCACCAAGTTGAAGGGTCCCTGGGAAAGTTTCTCAGCATGCTAAATATAGACTCTGATATTGGTCTTCCAGTTTGGACTAACTCATTCAATATCTGAATGATATTTTTTGATAAAACTTTATGTATGTGTTCTAGGTATTTTCCCAGTTTAAGGATATTTTAATTTTTTTACATTTGTGAGTTTTAGGAAGGAATATTTTTCTGCAAACCTATACATAGCTATGCCATCATTCTTCCTAGAAATCTCATAAGTACTAGAAAGAATTTTTAGGATTTAAGAAAAAGCATTATTTAAACTGAAATTTTACCTTCAGTCTAGCTCTGGATCAATTCTGCAGAAAAATATATATATTCAAAACTGCACAATGTTACGGGGTTTACTTCCTCTAGAACACTCTTTAAATGGATGATATTTGATCTTTCAAACTTTCTTGTTTGGAACTTCTATAAGGATTTCAACATTTTCAGAGGTCTCCTAAGATAGTGAAACCTGTAACTGTAGTATTCATAAGAAACTCTTGAGGAATTGGTTTAAAATGCAGGTTTCTGGACCCTTTTCCTAGAAAGTCTGAAACAGTGAATTTTAACAGGATCCCAGAAGTCTTTTTAGCTAGCTTATTACCATGATGCAGGTAGTCTACAGTTCAACTTTGAGTAATGCTCAGTGTTAAAATAATCAGACTTAATTATGAGATAAGATATTTTAGGTAACTGGGGCATTTTATGCTATCCCATGGGGCTGAATAGCTGACAACTGCTTTCCTTTGCTTCTAGAAGACATACTACTCACCAGGATAGATGTTCTTTCCATTGTCTTGTCTTAAACCTGAAGCTGAGTTTCCCAAACTTTTGAGATTTTTGTGTCCTGGGAAAATCTTCACTTACTCCCCAACCCTCCAACACACACCCAGAGTATCACACAGGTTGCCAGTTCTTTATTTTGCTGAATGAGGATATTAAAAATAAATCAACAGTGAAAGGACATTTTTGACACCTCCTCTCACCACAATCACCAAAGACATAAGTAAATAAAAATATAGAAAGAACAAAACTTCGTATTACAGATAGTCTTTTAAACTGAACACATTTAGCTCTATGCAAAACCTCCTGTGTTTTTCCTCTTTTAAAAACAATGTATTTATCTACAGATTAATGAGTACTTTCTCTTGGATGACATTTAAGAACTGCTCAGTTTTTGAAACAGTTCACTTAAAAGAGGTACTACCTGAATACACTGAGTAGACATGTATCTCACTCATATCCTGTTTTCTCACCAGTTCGGTCCTTTGGTACAGAAGACAGACCAACAGATCGTCCAATACCACCTCGAGATGAAGTCTTTGAATACATTATATTCCGTGGGAGTGATATTAAAGACCTCACTGTTTGTGAGCCACCAAAACCACAGTGTTCTTTGCCTCAGGACCCAGCTATTGTTCAGGTAACATAGTAAATTTTTAGTCTTGGAGTACAAATAAACTTCAGGCACATAGCTAGCCTTGGCTTTTGTCTCACCTGGTTTTTGTTTTTTAAATTTTCTCAAATTTTCATGTAGCTGATAACCATTTTCTAGATACCTAAAATAACTGGATAACATTCTTCGCCAGGTTTTTCTCTTTAGATCATAAATTGGGACTAAATAGAGTAAGAAATAGCTGAGGAATTAATTTTTATCATAAGATATTTTCTAATTTAAACAACAGTTAAAATAGCTCACATTTATTGAGGTCTAACTATAAGAAGCACTGTTCAAAGCACTACACATATAATAAGACAATCCTCACAGCACCTTTGGTACTGTAGTTATTCTCATTTTTACAAGTGAGGAAATTGAGGTAGGGCCATAATTTGAACAGACTGAGGCAATCTCTCTCCAGGATCCAGGATCCCTGCCACTATATTATTTGCATGTGGTTCTTATGACAAACTAGGGTGGTGATGACTATGAGGTAAGATTACTAGGTTTAATGAAAAAAAATGCTAAATCACATTATATATTATATGTATGTTATGCAGTATATGTACTATGTTACATTAGCACAAACAAAAGAATTTTAACATACTTGTGCATTTTATTAAAAACAGAAACACATGCTGTCTAAAAGATTGTAGATTATGAATTGAAGAGGATGTTCATTATAATACCTGTTTACATGTTGATTGGAAGCATATAGAAACTCTGAATTTCTACTGTAACAGCAGAGGAAGAAGATTAACAAGAATATTTTTAACTTGAGGGCTTAGCTGATTAAAAGCTTTATGGCCCCTGTGGTTTTCCTCCTGAATCCATTTTCTTCTCAGTCTTTTTTCTTGTCAGGAGTCTTTGGTCATTTTCTGAAATGTGCTTGTTGTTTATTTTTAACTTTCCCTTTTTTATGATGTGGGTGATAAAAATCTTAGTTTTTCACAAAACTGATAGTTAAAATATACATTACCTTGCATAGAATTTGCCTTACTTCCAGCCATTAAAAGAAAATACCTAATGACTCTTCTAAAGAAAATATTAAGTGGTATATAAAATTTAAGTGGAAAAAAGAGAAAGGACCTTTTAACATTTATTTACTGTTTTTTCTGGAATAAGATCAACTTTTTAATAAGAAATGGTAAATTGGGTTCTTGCAACATAAACTGGAAGAATTCTCTATTCATCTATCCCCTGCTTTGGGGTTTTTTTGTTTTTGTTTCTTGTGTTTCATTATTTATGTAAATAATTTACTGAGGTGAAATTCACAATTTAGAAATTAACCATTTTAAAATGAACAATTCAGTGACATTTAGTACACTCACAATGTTGTGCAAACTCTGCTTCTATCCAGTTCCAAAACACTTGCATCACCCAAAATAAAACTTCTTACACATTAAGCACTTTCCCTCTGTTGGCACCCTCCTCCCAGCTTCTGGTAACCACTAGTGTGCATTCTCTCTTTGGATTTATCTAGTCTGGATATTTTTTTAAATTTACATATATTTACTGTTCATTGTTTCTAAGAACAATTTAGAGCTTTAGCTTTTAAAACTTACATAGTTATCAACGGAATAAAGCCAACCACAAAATAAGAATCAATGGAATGCAGTAATCCAGTCATAAAGGATAGTCAAATGTGCTTACACATATTCAAGAAATCAGTCATCTAAGTTATAAATAATAATTAGTTCATTAGTGTCCTTTTTTTTTAAGATTCCACGGATAAACAATTATCCCCTGCTTTTTAAGTCTTACTTTTAAGGAATTAAGTCTGAAAAGAATCCTGAGAAAATGTGAACTTCTTAAATGGAGGGAGAAGAGACACATTCTAGTAGAAATAGCTGCCTACACCAAGGAGTGATATTATCTGACTCGTATATATTTTGATAACTCCAGGGAACAAGCAGTCATGGAATGAGGAAAGCCAAGAGAACACAATTTAAAATGATGTTAAAATACTTACAATCACCATAAGTTTTTGCTTTTGATCTTTTTTTTTTAATGGAGGTACTGGGGATTGAACCCAGGATCTCACCCATGCGAAGCACGTACTCTACCACTGGGCTATATCCACTCCCCACCACTTTTGATCTTTTGACTCATTCGTTAAATAGTCTTTATCAAGTACTTGCCATGTGCCTGACATTAGCAGCAAGCATACAGACAGGATCCTGCCATCAGTGAGCTTATAACCTAGTGGCTGTTAGTATACTTCATATTGATACTATGAAACATTTTATGTTAAAATAAATTAATGTATAAAGTGTACATGTATACGTATTAAAATATATTTTAGGTTTAATAAGTTAAGGTTTTTAGAAAGTACTCTTTAACATGATAACAACTGTATTTTAAAATGTAAATGGTTTTGTATAGGGTAATTTGTTTCTGTCTGTTTTTCCTATAAATTTAATAGTACTCTTCAGGTAATCAAAAATAAGAGTAAAATCAAAAGTGAGATGTCATATTTGTGTCAGCATGAGACTGAAACTTAGTACTGTAACCAAATGTGACTTTTCTCATGTTTTTTATTTAAGCAAAATTACTTTACTTATTCAGGAACTTTTTTTCAGTTCTTTTCCTAAATCTTTTATAAAACTCTGAACTCAAAGGAGAAGTTCATTGTAGAAAAAAGCATTTATAAATCACATTGAGTATAACTGGCACACATGTACAAATATTGAAATTAGAAAGTTATTCAGCTGTTTTAGTATTAAATGCATGTTGCAAGTTATAATTGCTTTTGTGTTGAGAAGTTATAATTTAATAGTTTTCTTAAAAATGTAATATCTGACTTTCTTTTTGTTATGTACATGTTGTTTAGAACCTGGAAAAATAACTCATGACCTTTCTTCAGTCTTCACTAGGCTCATCTACTTCTTCATTCCAGTCAGTGGGCTCCTATGGACCTTTTGGCAGGATGCCCACATACAGTCAGTTCAGTCCAAGTTCATTAGTGGGGCAGCAGTTTGGTGCTGTTGGTGTTGGTATGTTGTGCTTTTTTTCTTTTTCTTTTTTTCTTTTTTGTAATTTCCTTGTCTGTACCACAAAGATATATAAAACTTATCATAAATTTTTAGACTAATTGTTTGGTGTTGCTTTTATAATCTATTATTTTAAAGACTTTATTTTAATGTCCTTAATGATTAGTGGTTCAATAAATGCCATCTCTTAGAATAGTAACTTTTTTTTAAATCTAGGTATATCCAATTACCAGATTTTATTGAATGTTACTTTTAATCTATGTAAAATGTATCCATTTAAAATAAGCATTTTTCCAAACAGGATGGATTTTTAAAAAGGGAAATTGAGATAATGCCATTATTAGGAAATAATGCCAGAAAGGAATATTTATGTGGAATGTGGATAATTTAACACCACCTAGGAGAGATACTCAAAATATCGTATGTTTGAGGGTGTTTATTCTAATAATGGTTTAGAAACACGGCACTATAAGGAGAAAGTGTAGGAGGGCTAGGCTAATTATAGTCCTTATGATTGGAGGACAAAGGCTGTTGTGTGCAAAAGCTGGATACGATCAGATCAGATTTTTGTTTGTTTTTATAGCTATGCTTTTTAGCTCTTAAGTACACCTTTATTGAAATTCCTGCAGTAAAGAATAACTTTTTAAATGTCAAACTTTAACCCTCAACCTTTTCCCCGTTGATTTAATCACTTATCAGCTTTATTTCGCTGAATCACAAATCCAGTTTCAAATGTTTTGAAACTCATTAGTATGTTAATTAATTATATTAAAATTAATTCCTTTCTATGAATATTTTTAATACAGTTGTGACTTTTTGGATATGTAATGTTTTACTTATTCACAAAAAACAATAGGAAAAAAAGTAAGTCCTAAAATTGAATGAATACAAACAGAAACAGCTGGTGTCAAGTATATATCAGATAACATAACCATACAGAAATAAGAATTCAAGTAACTTTTACACTCTTAGTAGGATATATTGTAAGAACAGATACAACTTTAAAAAAAACTTGATTTAGGGTTTATAATTGGTAGTGGTATTGGTGTTGCTAATTTTGAAACTATTTTGTATGTATTATGAGATAGGACAAATGAGTAACATATTGATGTTGAGAAATGGTATTCTTACCTTGGAGAAGGGAGATACAAATAGGGAAAGGGGAAAGGTAAGGAAGAACCCTATGGATTTGAATATGAATTGGAAGTATGAGTGTGAATTCATCTTTTTAAGAAGATTTACAATGTTATGTTGGTTTCAGGTGTACAGCAAAATGATTCAGTTTACAATATATAAATCTATTCTTTCTCAGATTCTTTTCCCTTATAGGTTATTACAAGATAATTGAATATAGTTCCTTTGTGCTGTATAGTAGGTCTTTGTTGGTTATCTATTTTATATATAGTAGTGCGTATATGTTACTCTCAAGCTCCTAATTTATATCTCCTCCCCACTTTTACCCTTTGATGACCATAAGTTTGTTTTCTATGTCTGTGAGTCAATTTATGTTCTGTAAATAAGTTCATTTGTATCATCTTTTTAGATTCCACATATAAGTGATATCATATGATATTTGTCTTTCTCTGACTTACTTCCCTTAGTGTGATCATCTCTGGGTCCATTCCTGTTGCTGTAAATGGCATCATTTCATTCTTTTTTATGGCTAAGTAATATTCTATCATGTGTACACTGTGTGTGTGTGTATTGCTTATATCCTCAAAACTAGATTTTATGTATATATGACCTCTTTATCCATTCATCTGTTGATGGACATTTGGGTTGCTCCCATGTCTTGGCTGTTGTACATAGTGCTAGTGTGAACCCTGGGGTGCATAAATCTTTTTGAACTAATAGTTTTCTCTGGATATATGCCCAGGAGTTGGATTGATGGATCATATGATAACTCTATTTTTAGTTTTTTAAGGAACCTCTGTACTGTTCATATTGGCTGCACCGATTTTCATTCCCACCAACAGTACAGGAGGCTTCCTTTTTCTTCGTATCCTCTCCAGCATTTATTATTTGTAGACTGTTTGATGATGGCCATTCTGACCAGTGTGAGGTGATATTTCATTGTATTTTTGATTTGCATTTTTCTAATAATTAGTGATGAGCATCTTTTCATGTGCCTGCTGGTCATCTGGATGTCTTCTTTGGAGAAATGTCTATTTAGATCTGCCTTTTTTTTTTTTAATCTTCTGCCCATTTTTTAATTGGGTTGTTTGTTTTTTTGATATTGAGCTGTATGAGCTCTTTGTATATTTTGGAAATTAATCCCTTGTCAGTCGCATCACTTGGCAAATATTTTCTCCCATTGTCTTTTCGTTTTGTCAGTGGTTTCCTTTGCTGTGCAAAAGCTCTTAAGTTTAATTAAGTCCCATTTGTTTATTTTTGTTTTTATTTCCATTACTCTAGGAAACAGATCCAAAAAATATTGCTGCAATTTATGTGAAAGAGTTGAATTCATTTTTTAAAGACTGGTTATTTCCTGTCTCTCTTCATTGTAGGGGCCTAGAAGCAATGATACCCAGTAGCAAAGAACACATATAGACCTAATTCTTGCTTTTTAAATGTCTTTTCCCACTAAAAGGAATCTAGGCTACTTTTTAAAAGAAGAGGAAACAAGGTTTTTTTTTTTAAACAGAAAAATGCTAGCTAATAAATAGAAGGAATGGTGGATATAGGAAATCACCATTTTGGAATCTCCAGTGAAACAGCAAGAATTATCAGTGGATGCTAAAATCATTGGGTAAATGATGTTGAAACAGGATATTAAAATGGTCTTAAAGTATCATCTCACAGTTTACTTATTAATTACAAAGGGGGAAAATGTGCCTTTATAATGGAGAGATCTGATGGTTACCATCTTAAGTTGTCAAGTTTGAGTTTGCCATAGTTAATGATTATATGTCTCCTGATATATTGCTGTAGCAGAAGGGGAGTAGACAACTGTGGTATTCTTATTGAAATGCAGATTCTAATCATGAGGAAATGAACATATATATTCAGAGGCCAAACTCTTAAAAGGATTCAGTGCTGTGAAGAACAGAGAGGCAGCAGGACTTTTAGACTTTAGGAGTTGAAGAGATATACTATATCCAAATAAAATATGTGATTGGATCCCAAGTTTTAGGAAAAGTTGGTAAAGAATGTTTTAGGAACTACAGAGGAACTTTGAGTAAGGATGATGTTATTGTTGATTTTCTTAGATGTGGTGGTGATGTGTGGTTAACCAAATAGGAGGATGTCTTT